CCCCCCCCCCCCCCCGCGATAAATAACGACCAGTTCCTAATTCAATTATTCTTTTATAAAATTGATATTCCGGTAAGATTAACATGGGAAGGCCATTCTGTCCATTTCTATCCATGCTGTTTCGAGCAAAGGAAGTGGTAACCATTTCCCGTTTGTAATCTAAAATGACTGAAAATTGCAAACTTCGCAAGGCTATATTATCCGCATTTTACAACATTTTGCAACAAAACTTTGGAATATTACTAATGTTGTGATGCTCTTTCAAGCTGTGATGAAATTTTTGTCTAGACTTGTTGAGTTCAAAATTTTGGTTAATTGGGGATTGGTCCATTCACTTTCAAAATTTAATGAATACAAATGAACTATATTCTATTGTTAAGCTCGCAAGAATTGTGTGGGAATATTCGGACAAACTACAGTACACTTGTTGACGTCATTTGGAATACATGCTATTACTCTTCATAAAGCCGATTTTCCACTTGCGAATTTTTTCGCGCGAAGCGAATTTTTCATTTGTCTTTGGTCTCTCAACTGGAACCATCTGGAACGAATTGGATAAAGACAAGGGAAAAATTCGCTTCGCGCGAAAAACTTCGCAAGTGGAAAATCGGCTTTATGAAGAGTAATAGCATGTATTCCAAATGACGTCAACAAGTGTAGTTTGTCCGAATATTCCCACACAATTCTTGCGAGTTATTATACAGTTGACCGACTAAAAACAGGTCGTGTCCGAGCAAAAAGAAATTTAACCGGACAACGTGACTTGCGTCTGTCCGGCCGTTATCACAGGGGGTCCAACTAAGAGCTGTGTTATGAATATGAATAAAACATAACGTAATATATTTAAATTATTGCACTTACTTGTATAAATCATAAGAGCTTGTATTTGCAGTGAATAGCTTTTAACAGGGCGCTTATATACGCTCAGAAAATCGCTCAGAAACATTTTGATTCGAACGATTGTTCAAATATGGCGAATAAATTGACAAAACGAAAATATTACATGACGTTCCAACGAAAGTAACAGCAAGGATTGCGGGCGCGCGAAAAGGCGAGGGAACTCAGGGAAGAAATAAATAGAAGGGATGAAACAAATATCACGTGACTTTTTAAAATGCTTCTAGACTATCCGTTTAAGCTTTTTGTGGGGTTTTTAAGGCTCAGTCGATGTTCTCTTACATGAACAAGCCTAGTCATTACCAAAAAAGCACTGATCAATCTAATTTATGTGATTTATAACAGCGAGCATTCTTGGCCATTATCGCGAGATGTGTTCCATAAGTAGCCTGTTCTCGTGACGTATGACGAAATAATAATAAAACTAAATAATGTAAAAAAAAACGTTGGTCGCTACATTTAAACATTTCATATTAGCCGGTATAGCTAAACATTGTTTATTTTCATTAATTAAGCGCGTAGGCGTTGTTGGAGTTGGCGGGAGGCGTTTTGGAATTTTCCGAGAGAAC